GGGAGGTGCTGCCTGTAGTATTTATGCATTGGGAGGTCAGATGGGTTGCAAGGACCCAGGGGGAGTCACCTCAGGATGGCACTATGGGACCATGACCTATGGTAATGCTCAGATCGCAAGTCGTGATCTGCGCCAACACTTGCCGGACTAACCCGGACTTCTTTGTGCAGGCACTACCCTAACTCTAATGTTAAGGACGATTCGGGCACAGGTGGGGTGAAATGTAATGTTTTAAAGCACCAATACATGCTAGCTATCGGCCGCGGGCCCCTTTCGGAGGCTGCCCACCACCGATTCATTTTGTCTATGGCGCTTGGCCTCCTAAATTTTTGGAGAGTCTCAAAACAGGTTCTCCAGTTGCCTGGGGCCATGTACTGGTGGTTTAATGAAGGCCGTTTCATTTTTGTATTCTGAAAGGTCCAAGCCACCATGTTTGTGTACTTGAGCATGGGATGCGTACACACCCGTTTGCCTCGCAGCACATCTGCACCTTATGTTCTGTCTTTTCTCTTAGTGATGCTCGTTCAGATGCATTTAGTAGATCTACGTAAGGGGGAGGGGAGTAGGGGATAGGAGCAGGAGGAGGGAGGAGAAGAGCAGAGGGAGGAACCTCATGAGCTCGTCAGTGCTCACTGGCAGAGCTGACAGCGAAAGACCGGCAGCGAGGGGTCCAGTAGCTGAGAAAAATAAGCTGACGAACAGGCATTGCCAATGGTAAGTGGCCACATCTGCAGACCAGACAGGACCGGTTCATCTGTGGCCTGTGGAAGCACCACATCCAATCCTGGCAGTTGGAATCACAGTGTCAAATGGGAGAAGCGAAAAAAGAAAACAAAGAAAAAAATGACAGAAATTATCCCCAAATGCACTTTTCAATGTTGGGGGGGGGTAACCTGGGCCTGAAAAGTGGGGTTCCCTGTTCACCCTTTCTGTCAAGTGGTGTGGGACAAGGAGATGGCGCAGGCAACATGACTCCCACATTATAGCAACACAGAGGCACGGCGGTGACAGTTGCATAGACACGGCCATTCCAGCCCCTGTCTAATAACAGGACATCCCATGTGAGGGTGCTGTACATGGCTATAATGTTCACTATCATCATAGGTATGAAAAGAAAAACTTGCGAGGGCAAAACCCTCATAATGCTCACGACTCAAGGAATGCCAATCACAGGCTGGTCACACATCGGGCTGGTCATCATAGTGCAGCATCAGGCAGTTTTCTGGGGATTCCGGCATTGCCTGTCATTGCCTGTCTGTGGACAGGCAATGAGGGGGCGGAATCCCAACTTAAACCACCAGTACTTGGCCCATACATCGGCCGCAGGGCGCTGTCGTTAACGCCCCGCAACTTCCGGAGGCTCGGGGTACCGGCCCTCAAAGGCTGGCGCCGCCAGCCAAAACACTTTTTCTTTGTTTTGCTGCCTGGTCGGCGCGAAATGGGCCGCAGCCCGTTTTCAGGCTCGGCATCGATAGCTGGGCCAAGTACTGGTGGTTTAAGGATGTTGAGCTGTGCAAAATCTGGTCTGCCACTGCTCGCCCTGGGGGCGGTTGCCTCATTGAAAGGGAGGTGTTCTAGGTCAGCTAGACGATAGGGGCTTTTTGAAATCCAAAGATAGTTTCACCTTGAAATTATTAACTGTCCATAGTTGGCGTGCTGTAGGAAGGTCATGTGCTACCGCTTTCTCTACCTCAAGCTGCTGTGTCTGTTCCTCGTCTGGCGAGGATGGAGAAGGCCCAGTTATGGGTGCATCTGGAGGACATCCGGCATTACATGTGGAACACATACGGAGTGGATAAGGCGGATGATGCTGTAGGGGACAGTCTATGCAGTAAAGACACATACTCTCCATGACAGCTTCCTGCAAAACATTTGCAGCACATGGCGCGTTGCTGGTATGCTGGCGAGCAGGAAACCAGATTCGGGCGTCCCTTGTCAAGACCACAATGACAAATCCGGCAAGTTGTGGCAACTAATAAGTGGGGGGGGGGGAATGAATGCAAGACAGCGAGGGATCACAGTTTTCATGGCAGAGGCTGGCAGTGATCATATCTGATAGCATAATTGCAGCAGAGGTTGCAGGACGCAGGCCGGGGATGAATGCAAGACAGCGAGGGATGACAGTTTTCATGGCAGANCACACACACACACACACACACACACACACACACACACACACACACACACACACACACACACACACACACACATGCACACACACACACACACATACATACATAACAAACACGCACCATTTCCTGCTTGAAATTTCCCTGCTTGGAACGGAACCTTAAAGGATGATGGAGGAGGAGGGAAAGATATAGGGGTGAGCTGTTGTGCTGACAAGACACTTGATGGGTCGTTTGTGTGGGAGATGTGTAATAGCATAATGCAGGACAATGTACAAGATTGCCTCCTTGATGTGCAAAACGGAACGGCAGATGTGCTCTCTGTCCCTGCGGATGTACTGTTTATGGCATCTCATTATCATGGCCTCTCAGCAGTCATGTCCGAAAACTGCTCCGACGCGTCGTCAGGGGGATATTGGACAGTGGTCGTGGTTCGAACGGAGGTTTGCAATCAAAGCCAAGATTTACGTTTCGCTGCTTTAAAGGGCAAGGCCTCTTGTCATGGCATCGGCTACGGTGACTCTGCTGGTTGGAAATCTCCAGTGGCCACAATCGTCAACCTAGACCTTGTGAAGATCCCACCCAGTGGCCAAAAGGATATTAGTGCGGTGACAGAGTTCTTCTCTTCGGTGTGTGCTCCCGGCACTGATGACAGCAAATTATGCACTGGCTGTCAGTCTAGTTGCACACCCGACAACGGTACTACTCAAGTTGACTCGGGAGCTCAGGACTGCTTGAACAGTGGGGGAGATGTTGCATTCATTCGGTCTCCGAGGAATATGGCACCTGGCGTTTTTAAGGACATTGATAGAGAGCGCTTCAGGTATGTTCTTCGGGCACGGTTTTCGGAGACATTGATAGAGAGCGTGGTTCAGGTAACCAAGTGGAGATCTGTACATGACCTCCACTCCTGTGCTCTCTTCTCCTCTTTCCTTTTCGATCGCTTTTGCACTGCTTACACACCCTCAGCCTACCACACCCACTCGTTCCCATCGCGAGGAGAGCAAGGCCGATTGCATGAAGTCCAGTGCCTTATTCACATAGCTACTTGGTGGTTGAGATGTGTTTTGTTTTGTCCTTCCCGACATGACATCCGTTAAAATTGGAACGATCCAGAGAAGAAAGATTAGCATGGCCGCTACGGAAGGATGACACGCATCAAACGAGAAATGGTCCAAATTATTTATTAAAAAAAAAAAATGTTTTTTTGTGGTTTCACATGCTACACTTTCATCTCTGGATACGATAAATCTGCCATCCTGTTGTCAGACCATTCGTCTAGTGATTCTTTTTCCTTTTTCTGTTCCTTTTTGTTTTTTTGTCGAGTGACTCTAGTGTTTGCCAGCAACTGAAATCTCCTGCTGTCCTTCATAAGTGACCTCGTCCTTTCTTCTTTTCCTGAAAACTTGAAAACCTTCATTCTTAAGGACCAGCACCTCCTGCCTGCATCAATTTTATTCTGCAAAAATATGCTTTGGTCCTTGATTGGATGAAAGGAGATGAGTACTTTCTTTTTTTTCTTTTTTTTTTATTAATGTTGCATTTTATTACTTGTCAAGCACAAAAGAGGCTGGGAATCCCTCAACATATCAACCCGGAAAAGGGAACTGGGGCCCTTTGGGACATCGGTTAAAATTGGAACGATAGAGAGAAGATTACCATGCGCCCTTGCCCCTGTGCAAGGATGACACACAGAAATTGATAAGTGCTCCAACTTCTTCAAAAGAATAAAACTTCAATAAAGAGAGATGAGAGCTACTTCCTGGGAATGAGTGATTGACATTTTTCTGCTTCCCGCGCCTTGGATCGATCAATGATTTTTTTTATGCAGCTTGCTTTGTCCACAAGGAGGATGTGCAAATATGTCAGAGGTTGATACTTGCAAGTGAGTTGAATGGCTCTCTAAACCACTCCCTAATTTTTTTTATTTATTTTTTTTTCTTTTGTAAAACACACGCTCCGATCTATCTTTGGGGAGCAGCATGTACCGGGAACCGGTCCCTAAATTTGAAAACCACTTGACAACAGTAAAGAACAAACAATGGGCCTCGCTCCAGTACTCACCAAATTTGCAAAATGAGAGTGAATCATCTGCTACAACATGGAATTATACATCAACATCGGCGCCATGTTCTTTGTTTTTTGTGCATATGAGAGGAGAGTAGTGGACCGAGGCCCGATGTCTGAAGCTCAGAACCAGTTTGCAAAGAATGCAAAAACGTTTTCTTGAATTTTGTTCTTCTGAGTCATTCCCCCTCCGCAGGCTTCTTTGTATTGTCATCTCCAAATTCAGCATCCACTGCCATCCAGCACCGTCCAATCCTTTTTCAACCGCTAACTATAAATCTGTAGACATTTCTCTCTCTCTCTCTCTCTCTGAGATGTACGTCCTTTTCCGATCCTTTTTTTTTTTTTTCCCTTTTCCATTTTCAAATCCAGTATCCAAGTACATCAAATATGGTTTGGAGTGCGGACAATGGGGTTTGAATTTGGAGATTGGATTGACAACTTAAAAGTTTACATGTGAGCTGCACGTAATTCGCAGAGAAGCGGCATGCGCATATCCTGCTATGGCAACAACTGTTGTTGAGCTTCTGCAAAGTTGAAAAACGTTTTTTTTTTTTTTTTTTTTTTTTTTTNGCAGGCCGGGTATGAATGCAAGACAGCGAGGGATCACAGATTTCATGGCAGAGGCTGGCGGTGATCATATCTGATAGCATAATTGCAGCAGAGGTCGCAGGACGCAGGGCGCGGATGATGCGGAGGCACCTTGTGTAATGCGCGTGCAGGATTTTCGTTTGTGTGGGTGTTTGTGTGTGTTTTAGACTGTCACCATGACGACCAGTTTTCCACCCAGATGAGTAAATCCAAAATTGTAACAGCTTTACGTCACATATCTCTCAACTAAAGGAGTGCAATTTGGGAAGCAAACGAAAAAAAGAAAAAGAAAGCAGACAGCATAAAGCAGAGTAAAACCGTTGTTCGCCTTTTCCTGTGCATCTAGCTGAGAGCTAGCTGCCCACATCCTCATGTGCTATAAAGGCCGACTTGCACGCTATGAAAAGGAGGCAGAGAAAAGGGGGAGGGGTACTCGAGCACAAGGGTAGTACACACATTCTTGCCACAGCCCAGGCATACTTTAGAATCCGAAACGAGTCATTCTGCAAAGTTCGGATGAACAGTGCTACTGGACCAAAATGGCTGGCGGCGCCAGCCAAAAGGGAAAAAAAACTTTGCGCTGGCGCTTCCGCAAAGCTTGGCGTGCAGTTCTTTTCCGACTTGGCAAAAAGAGGCTCGAATGTACTGGTGCAAGGAAGTGAGCAATGAGAATGACGATAAACCAAATTGCAGCATTCCATAGAAATCCAGACAACTTCGTGCCTGAACTGAAAGCAGATTGCACCACGAGATAACACAAAATAAGCAAGAGCAAAGCACTGAAGTCAAATGATAATGAAAGCCCACTTCTCGCCGCCAACATCAATGTCAATAATGCCGCCCTCCTAACTTGGCGGGCGGCACCCAGGCTTCAATCAGACAGCGCCTATGGACCTAGACTCCGATCTACAACAGAACTTCCATGAAGGACAGCAGCCCAATGATGAATGAAGACTCCGAACAAAGCAGCCTGGTCCTTGCCACCAGGTAGGCGCCTCCTCACATCACCCACACCTTGACTTCCTTCGACAGTCCCTTGTCCAAGGACCTTCGCTCAACCACCTCCAGCTATGGTGCTAGCAATTCGGCTATGATTTCTGCGCTGTACCCGCTGCACCTTCTCAGCGCCTCCATCGCGCCCCGCCAGCACCCTTCTTCCACTCTGCCCGACTCTTGTCCAGCAAGCCAGCGCTCCAGCGCTGCTGCCATCCAGCCAGCGAGAATGTGGCCAGTGAGTGAGCCCCACTTGCTTTTGTCCTGTCTGGCTGGGTGAGGCAGGCTCTGGCTGGGTGGCATCTGTCCAGCTGCGCCCAGCGCCCTTCCGGTATATGCCTGGGGCTCAACTATTAAGTGCCCTGGGCCTCAGCATCTCTGCTGGGCCTCCAGCATCTTCAGCCGACCGGGCTACCAGTTGGTTGAAGATGCTGAACGCAGCAACCAACCCACGGGTTCTTTCTGGCTCACTCCGGCCTCTACATGGGGCCTGTCGATTTTGTGCAGGCCCGCCTTCACTTAGGGTGGGCGCAAACAGGCTGTGTGTCCTAACAATGGGCAACGGACGGAATTAAACACCGTTGTACCCGTTGAATAGCCCCCGGAGCCCCTGTTGAATCCCGTTTAACGGGAAAACAGGGGTCTCCCGTTGAATCCGAAAAAACGGATTGGGGGCGTTGGGCCTGGGACGCGTGGCCCTACGCGCCTAAGCACTAAAACCACAAAAAATTAAAAAATTGACCCCCCCTACGACGCCCCAAACCTACCCGGAAGCCCTTTAACCTTCCCCTGCCCGCCCCATCCTGCCGTCCCCAAACCTACCCGGAAGTATGTGTGTTTGTAAGTGTGTGTGTGCGTAATTGTTAGGGTGTGTGTGTATGTGTGTGTGTGCATGTGTGTTTGTGTTTATGTGTTGTGTGTCTGTGTGTCTGTGTGTCTGTGTGTGTGTGTGTCTTTTTCCTTTTTTTTAATTGTTTTTATGTTTTTTAGACTGAAAGACACCCCGAATACAGCTATAGTGACCGTACGTTGTATTGGGGGGAACAAGGTAGTTATAGCTATTTGCTGTTCTATCCCTTCTGGGACACAACACACAGAGACAGAACAGCAAACTAAAACATAAGTTTACAAATTTTCAGCAAATCAGACCAGCAAACATCAAGACTCAGAAAAACTGCAGAAATATCAGACTGAAAGTGTGTGGGTCCTTGCATCGCTAAGGCGTTCGATCTTCATGCATGCTTCAGTGACTCTCAATATGTTATCATCTTTGCAAGGAAGTGAGCTGCTTGAATATCAAGTGTTGTTAAAAAAAAAAAAAAAAAAAATTTGCTATCTGTTGTTTTTTAGCATTGATTCCGTGTTGCAGTTTATTTTTCCCTTTTCTTTATTTTCTTTGTTGTTATATAACAGCGGCTTATGGTCCTGGCTCCATATTCATTCTGGGGAAAGTCGATCCGGTTACTTTTCCCTTTTTTATTTTCTTTATATTGACTGGGATATTGTTCCGTGTGCAGGCGACCTGACGATCATCTACGGTGTAGCAATCGCAGTTGTTGTGCTTATCAGTATCGGATTGGGAACTTTTTGCTACATAAGATCAAAGAAACTGAAGGAAAATGCTGTGAGCAGGAGACAAGCCATGGAATACACCAGAGCAGAGTGGAACTAAAGGACCTGGGACAAGCCATGGAATACACCAGAGCAGAGTGGAACTAAGGACCTGGGACAAGCCATGGAATACACCAGAGCAGAGTGGAACTAAGGAAAACGCTGTGAGCAGGAGACAAAGCCATGGAATAGACCAGAGCAGAGTGGAAAAAAGGAACGGCGAGCTGTGCAATACACCAGGAACAATAAATAACAGGTGTTCTGTTGAATATGCTTTGCAGAGTTGTTGTGTACCAGCCCAAGAAACGGAGAACAGCCGGGTTGTTGTGTACACCGGGAACAATAGCTTAGGTTGAAAACATCAGAGCAGGGAGGAATAGAGGACAGGAAACGATAAGCGCGCCGTAGAATATGCCACAAATTAGGGAAGTGCTAGTTTAAGTCGTTGACAATGAAGAGAAACCCAGGAGATGCAAGGGGAGTTTACGGCAATCCGTTCTGACTTCAGCTTAGATATGGGAACCAAGTGTGATGCTTGTTGCTTGTAGGCACAGGAAGGGTCATCTTCCTTCTTTTCCGTTTTCCTTTCTGTGTGCTACTTTTGTTCCGTTGCCAGTCATTGTGGGCTTAAGATGTCTGGTTTAAAAAAGCAAAAACAAAAAAGTCTCTCTCTCTCTCTCTCTCTCTCTCTCTCTCTCTCCTGTCTCTTATACACATCTAGATGTGTATAAGAGACAGGGTGTAAACACACTCATTGCTTCCTGTCCTCTTCCTAAATATGACTATCAGACCAGGACAGACACTTGAGGCCCAACTGAAGCTACCTGGTGTATGCTGGTGGTCGGCATTGGTGTTGGCGTCACATACATTTCTCTTCGACTTCAAAGTGATCCAGTTGCAAGAACGTAGATAGGCTGAGTAGGATAGGCAGGGCGCTGGGCGCCAGACAGTAAGTGCGCCATTGGATACAGCGTTGGTGTGACAAGAGAGTGGCGCCATTGACATTGGAGCTCATTCTATTGCAGCTCTTATTTGGACGGTATCTATGTGTAATGCACTCTCTGCTTGGTTCATGACTATCTGAGCTACTTCGTCATTTTGCAACTTGGATTTCTGGTCATCGCTCTCTCTCATATTCCTTGCAAGAGGTATTATCGACAACAGCTTGTGCGTGTGCCACATGTACATACCACGTCGATTGTTCCACCAAGCTTCCCTCCACAAATATAACTTGTTTGCCTTGTGATGGGATGTCCTTTTGCTTTTGCCATATGAGTGTGGTGTTTGGTGTAATTGTGCCCCGTCGCTCGTCCAGAAATTTGATGGGATGTCCTTTCGCTTGGACCATATGAGTTCAGTGTCCGGCGTAATTATCCCCTGTTGCTCGTCCTCGAGTTACAAAAGAAAAAAGAAAAAAAGAACGAAAAGGGTGATGGCCTTGAGATAGGATCATGATGGAGCACTGACCGGGCCCAGGCAATTCAGGATTGTTTTACTCTGTCCATCTTATCGCATGAGGATTCGAACTTGGGTCTGGGTGTTTCAACAGTTCATTGGTGTACGAACTGAGCTAGGCCCTTCCTGTGCATGTTTGGATGTGGGGGGGACCACTATTACCGGCCTTCTATGTCAACATCATGGTCCGGGTGCCATGAGCTGTGCATCCATATGTGTATTGAGTAAGGTTGGCATGATGTGCTGGTCAATAATGTCGCTTGTGGTACTGATCGTGAATGGTTATGGGTGGGTGGGTGGGTGGTTGTATGAATGACCTTGTTCAACTCGTCCGCGGCACAGTTTCTTCTATGTTCCTTTCAAGGCAGTTGTTGTCAGGGACTCGATGGAAAAAAGTTTTATCAACGAAATGACTGAGACACTTGCCACCGTCTCCAAGAGTGAGAAGTTCAGGGCTCTGTTCATGGAAGGTGCTAACAGTCAATCGCTTCTTTTCTCACAAAGGCAAGTATCTCCTCCTCCTCCTCCTCCTCCTCCTCCTCCTCCTCCTTCTTGCCCTCATTGTCGTCGCCCTTCTCCTCCTCCCCGTCCTCACCCTCTTTTCTCCTGCTTCTCATCACCTTCTGCTCTTCTGCACTCTTGTGTGTCCACATCATGCAGTTCATTTTTTTCTTGCTTTCCCCCCCCTTCAACCCTCCAAAGTAGATTTTCATCCCTTTGTCCCATGGCTTTGTATTTCGGTACTGTTTCCAAACGCAAGCCTCGTACAGCCTTCTAATCTAGGGATGTGATCTTGGAGATAATTGGACTCGTTAAAATGCTTGGGGGAAAAGGAAAAAAAAAAAGGCAATGATATTAGATTTTGTCTCATCCGTTTTCAACTTTTCGTGCATGTGTGTTGTAACGTGTAACCTGCTCCCAAGGTGCATCATTTGGACCATTCATCATTGTGAATTTGTCATGCAAAAACATTGGTAGGTTTTGATTTAAAAAAAAAAAAATAATAATAAAAAATTGTCATGCAAAGCTATATTTCCCAACCAAAAGGAGGTGTGATCAAAACTTTCTTGCTCACATTGGAGATAGCCTTCGAAAGGTTTTTGGTCTCTTAGCTCTTGGGAAACGCATTTAAAAGGGTTGTTGAATTTCGGGGTTCGCTTTTGGGGAAACAAAAAGACGAGGTTAGTATTTGGTGAGATTTAGCCTATTGCTATATGTGTATGGGACGCTGGACCTGGTTTCCAGCAGGTGATGCTCCCCACCCCACTAAACATACCGGGGCCATCTTGTTTCAAGTTAGCAATGTCACGAGTATGACATCTTACCGGGGCCATTCCTAAACAAGGTCAAGCTTCAACGAAACCGGTAAGATGTCATACTAGTACAACCGTAGGATGTCGACAACAACTTCAGGTATCCTGATCACATGGCGAACTTGTCAGATCGACGGCCATGAATGCTCCGATTGCTGCATTTCTCCTGGTCTTTGGGGCTTTCGATCTCCTCGACTGACGACGTTGTATACTCGGGATCCATGGACGATTCTGCTTGGTTTTTGGCTCACCGGCACTGTGGTTTGCCTCGTGTGTTGGCGACGGGATCAGGTAGGAAGGGAGTAGGATGAATATATAAGGAGGCAAGGCTAGGGCAATGGCCCCCTGCATTGAGTCGTTTCAGGTCTGGGTGGTATTCTAGTCCTCGAGGACCGGAGGATGCTTAGTGCGGGTAGTTGAAATGCGTAGAGGAGTGGCCGCATGGGAGATTGGAGAGTGCGAGATTTCAGTTTCTGCTCGTCGTCTAAATAAATAAATAAAAAAAAACAATCTTTTTTTTTTTTTTTTTCTGAAACATCAACAGCAGGTGTAGGGGCTGTGGACAACAATCTTACCGATTCCGTTGAATGAACACAATGTCACAGGATGCCGACAGTCAATCGTGCCATAGGATTAACTTTCTTTTTTCCCTTGTTTTTTGGGGGGCGAAAGAGCTGCTTTCTATTGGTGGGGAGTAGCACTGCTGGAAACCGGCTCGTCTCCTTACCAGTTCCAATTGTTGTGATGGCCTCATGACTTCACCATCTTGCTTTGTTGGGAGTCCATAAGTAGACTCTTCATGAAACCGATTGCTTCATTGCGCAATCTTCACACCCAGTAAAAGTTGGACAAGGATGGCATTCGAAGTAACCTTTATTTTTTTTTTAATAAAACACAACTGAAGACTAGGAATGATGATAAGAGCAGTCATTCCTAATCACCCAGCTGAAACTCCATTCTATTGGTGGGGAGTATCACCTACTGAAACCGGGTTCAGCGTCCCTTATACGGAAAAATCGAAGTAACCTCACGCAAGCCTCCTTCAATTTCATACAAGCAATTCCTCCCCAGGCCTGCGGTAGTGTAAATAATGCTAAGGTCCCCTGGCCCCTGGAAGAATATCCTCTGTATGCGTAGGAGTGGGTGAAGCCGGCATGGATACACAAGGCACTGACCAAGCACAGGTGCTGCCTATCATCTTCACCCGAATAGAATGTACCATCATTTTTGCTGCATCTGGACTGAAAATTGGGTCAAATACGGATATAGTGACGGTACGTTGGGCCAAATACAGATATAATGACTGTACGTTCTATTCCGGGGAAGACGGTAGAAGTGTCCCCATCTACCTGTTGGCAATACTGCATTCCATGCCACTATCGAGTTACTCCTTCTTTAGCTACTGTCTTTACCCCAATATGCCCGGTCAGTATAGCCGTATTTGGTGCTAAATTTTCAGTCCAGATACAGCTATAATGACCCGGCATTCTTAAGGAAAACACTAGAATGCCGGGTCTGAGTCCGGCCCCATTTGATTTTTTTCAAAAGCACAAATCCTACAGCTGTTTTTCCCTGTTTTACGAGGATTGGTTCTCAGACCTTTCAGTCTCTTAGACAACTGTCCAGACATTTTCTCAGACATTCTCAAGGTCTTAGACAACTGTCCAGACAATTTCTCAGACATTATCAAGGATAGTGCGATAGTGTGATCTGGAAGGTGGGCTGGGCATAGACAGAGACCACTGGTGGCCCCCAGTGCGCCCTGCTAGACCCCAGCCCAAGGTCCTGTTTGTGGAAAAATCAGGATAGTTAGTGATGGGACGCTGGACCTGGTTTCCAGCACGGTATCTCATGATTCCTTTCCTTTCCTTTTCCAATGTAAGGGACGCTGGACCCGGTTTCCAGCAGGTGCTGCTCCCCACCAATAGATGCAGCCTCCCTGGGAGTGTTAGCGGTGGCTGCCTATACCAGCACCGCTAGCATCACCCGGGGGGGGTGTTTTAAAAAAATAATAAAAATAATAATAATAATAATAATAATAATAATAATAATAATAATATAATAATAATGACCCGGCATTCTATTCAGGTGAACACAGTAGCCTGTTGATAGTACCATTCATTGAACTGAGTCTGGCCATTCGTCTCCGAAGAGGTATTTGTACCGTATCCTGGGGTATTGCACACCCAATACTCCAAGAGGTCTTCGGTCATGGGTGACCATAGGCCATAGTTGTACTGCATGCCACCTTTGGCTGGCTCACACACAACCACTCCACTTTGCAGAGTGCTATGACCAAGACCTTTTTTCATTAGCTTTGCCCTTAAACCAACAGCCCTTCCAAGCCTCTTTTTCGGGCCCTTGGTTTCAGCCGTGCGGCGTGCGCCAAAGTTAAATGAAACAACACGGGCACGAAGTATTGTCTTTTTTGCTTGGCACCACCAGCCTTCCTCTTCCGCTGGGCCGAGCCCCAACTATGTGGTGTGTTAACCGCCGTGTCAGAACAAAGTAGCTGGGAAAGGAACTGGTAGTTCAAGCATCCTCCATTTTGCATTTTTTGGTTTCTTTCCAGCTTGGGGTGTGTGAATTGCGCTGAATTGAGAGTACTCGAACACCAGAGGTCAGGGGGGATGATATTTAAATGAATAGACTCAACAGAGTTTGCGTGGTTGCCCAGAGATGAAGGGGGGTGCATATGGAGAGGGAGATTGTGGATGATGTCTTCTTGGACAGGGGTTTTGGCCAACAAGTGACCAACGACCAAGCAAGAGTGCGGCAAGGAGTCTCAAGCAGATAGTGTACTGGAGCAAAAGAGAAAGGGGATGCTTATGTGGGGTATGAAGAGGATATCGTTTTTTAACTTCAGCCAACTCGGACGAAACAGTCTCTTACTACTGATGGAGGATCAGCATTTTGTTTTTTTTTGTGATTGGCGATTGACCAGACTCTGGTTGTTTTTCTTGCGGTTGCAGCCTTGTGTCGTTGTCTAAAATAATTACGACGACAGATCAGTACCTCAATACCTCGCTTGATATGTTCGCCACATACTATGAGCTTTACAATCCAGGAGGAGTAGCTATGGCATCTCACTCTGCAAGGAATCGTGAGTCGTACTCTCTCTCTCTCTCTCTCTCTCTCTCTCTCTCTCTCTCTCTCTCTCTCTCTCTCTCTCTCTCTCTCTCTCTCTCTCCCAGCCTGCCTGCATATCTATCTCACATGCACACATGTTTCCCCTTCCTCTGCGCCCTCCGAGCATGTGTGCTCAGATTTTTGCCGTGTTCAGTTCTTTCCGTATATATTTGCATGAGTCACTTTGACACCTGTGCATTGGTGCTTGTGGTTTCCTACACAGAAGAAGCGAATCACATTTTACCTCCCTTCTCAACAGAACTTGCTGAGCACGCTTGTTGATTTATGCAGTTCCATTGAGATCCATGCTCATCCTCTCTTCATACTTCAAATAACTAAACTGAATCTGCAAGCCAGTCAGATTCAATGCATGTCTTACTAAGTTGACTTTCACATCTTGCATGTTTGTGGTGTGTATAGGTGCATGCATGTGTTCATGTATCCATGTCTGTGTGTGATAAGAGAGAGAGAGTGTGTGTGTGTGTGTGTGTGTGTGTGTGTGTGTGTGTGTGTGTGTGTGTGTGTGTGTGTGTGTTTTGTAGATTATCACCAGAACAACTCCTTTTCCACCCAGATGCGCCGCTGACCCAAAATTGAACCAGCCTGACCTTATATTCTGCTATGAAGTATCATTTTTAAATGATTGTAAATTTTGTAACGTTTTGATGAAATGTAATGATTTTTTTTTTTTTTT